GGTGGGGGGCCGCTTGGGGGCCGGCCAGCCCCTGGTTGCGTAGCGGGGGCACGGCAGCCCCTGGTTTCATAGTGCGGGGGCCCGGCAGGCCCTGCCTGGCACACAGGGTGTTGGTACCATTATGGCCTTGCACATCAGGTCCCCGCCATGGTCAGTCTCGGCAGAGGAAAACGACCAGACATCCAGGGAAGAGGGAGACAGGTGGGCTTTTGCGTGGGGAGACCCTGGAGCACATGGCTCCCCTCTCAGCTCCAGCCCCTGGCTCTAAACTCTTCTCTTGTGCTTTCTGGTGCCCCAGGTGAGCATGCTGCTGTGGCGGGTGTGTCTGCTGGCCCAGGGCCTCCTGGGGGCCGGCGCCCTCTTCCCTAGTTACCCGCCCTGCGCTAACAGCAAAGACGGCAAGAACGTGGACTGCAGCCTGCGCAGCCTCACCCTGGTGCCAGACATACGTTCCAGCAGCGTGACCTCCCTGAACCTGGACAGCAACTTCCTAGCCCTGCTGGCCAATGGCTCCTTCCAGGGCGTCCCTTGCCTGAGGGATCTCTCGCTCAGCTGGAACTGCATGCCGGGGCAGCTGCGGAAAGCGCACGCGGTGTGTCAGCTGGTGATCCAGCCAGGGGCCCTGACCGTGCTGCGCCACCTCACCAACCTGAGCCTGGCAGGAAACAGCCTGAGCGTGCTGCCCCCGCTGCCCTGCACCCTCCGCTTCCTGGACTTGAGTTACAACAACATCCTCAGGCTGGGCCCTCGGAGCCTGGTGGAGCTCAGCCACGTGAGCGAGCTTCTCCTAGGCAACAACTGCTACTACCGGAACCCGTGCGGCTCCTCCGTCAGCCTCGCACGAGATGCCTTCCTGCCCCTGACCTCCCTGAGGCGGCTCTCGCTGAAGTTTAACAACATGACTGCAACTCCCCAGGGGCTCCCGCCCACGCTGCACCAGCTCGACCTCTCGGAGAACAAGATCGCCCACGTGAGCCACCTGGAGAACCTCACCAGCCTGAGGTCCCTCAACCTGGAGTGGAACTGCCAGCGCTGTGACCATGCTGCTCAGCCCTGCTTCCCCTGCCCAGGCAACAAGGCCCTGACCTTCGAGCAGGATGCTTTCCAGAACCTCGCGCAGCTCAGGAGCTTGAACCTGCGAGGCAACTCCCTGCAGGACCTCAACGCCAGCTTCTTCAGCAGCCTCCGCAACTTAGAGACCTTGGATCTGTCAGACAACTTCCTGACCTGCGCCATTAGACATGGCACCTTCTTCTCCGTGCTGAGCTCAGTGCAGACCCTAAACCTGGGCTACAATTACCAGTCACTGGTGACCTTCGAGAATCTGACTCTGTCTGACTCCTTCGGCCAAATGACATCTCTGAAAAATCTCATCATCAATGGCTACTTCTTCAGGCACTTGGCTGAGGACGGGATCAAGCCTCTCTTCAACCTGAGCAACTTGGAGACCCTCCAATTTCGAACCAACTTCATCAGGAACGTGAATCTGTCCCTCTTTTCCAAGTGCAGGACTCTCACGTTCATCAGTCTGTCCCAGAACAACATTGTCTTCTCCCCCCCATGCGAGAGAGGTGGGAATGGAGCTGGAACGGGACCTCGGGGCCTCTCCCATGATGGCACTTTGGTGGGGAATCCCAGACGCTGGGCGGAACCCAAAGGAAGAGCTGAGGCCATGGTGAGGGACAGCCAAAGCTCCCATGCCAACCTCCCGGCAGGCGTTCGCTGCAGCAAGACCCTGGATTTATCATTCAATAGCATCCACAGCATTGAGCCAGCCCAGTTCCAAGGGCTAGAGGCAATTGACTGCCTCAACCTCAGCTCTAATTACATCAGCCAGTCGCTAAATGGCAGCCAGTTCCTGCCGCTGCGGTCCCTGAAGCTGCTGGATCTGTCTCACAATAGGTTCGACCTGTACTATGACAGCGCCCTGCAAGAGGTCTGCCAGCTGGTCGTGCTGAACCTCAGCAATAATCAATTCCACTTCACAATCAAAGGCCTGGGGCACAAGTTTGAGTTCTTGAAAAACCTCACCAACTTGAAATTTCTGAACCTGGACAACAACCAGATCGGTATCAGGATCTCCAAACACCTGGAAAGCGCTGGACATCATGTGGATGAGCGGGAGGAATACCTACCTGGAGTTCTTTGTCAAGCTGCCCAGTCTAAGGCTCCTGGACATTTCGTTTAACAACTTGGACTCCATTCCAGCTCAGGTCATTGAAACCTTGCCTGGAAGCTTGAGGAAATTGTCCATTGCCTGTAACAATCTCTACGACTTCCCCTGGGACAAAATGGAAAAGCTGACATCATGTGGATGAGCGGGAGGAATACCTACCTGGAGTTCTTTGTCAAGCTGCCCAGTCTAAGGCTCCTGGACATTTCGTTTAACAACTTGGACTCCATTCCAGCTCAGGTCATTGAAACCTTGCCTGGAAGCTTGAGGAAATTGTCCATTGCCTGTAACAATCTCTACGACTTCCCCTGGGACAAAATGGAAAAGCTGAGCAGCTTGGAATTCCTAGACTTGAGTTATAATGCACTGGAGACGCTGCTGGTCGTGGGCAGAGGCTCCTTTGGCAAGAACCTCACCACCCTCGACCTCAGCTACAACAAAATCAAGTCTCTCCAGGAAGCGTTCTTTTCCCACGCCAGTTCCTTGCACTTTCTCAGTTTGAACCATAACAAGATCCAGATGGTCGATGAAAGCAGCTTTCCCAAAGCCCTTCTTCAGAGCTTGCAGCAGCTGGACGTGAGCAGCAATCCCTTGCGGTGCACCTGTGCAGCCCACTGGTTCCTCACCTTCCTCAAAAGCACGTCCATCACCATAGACCATTTCTCCACTAGCATGCAATGTGACCTGCCCGAATCAAAGCGGGGGCAGCCTCTGCTCTCCATGGACCCTCGGTCCTGCCAGGATATATACGGTCACCTAAGCTTCCTGTGCTCTTCCCTCCTGGTGACCTTGGTGACTGTGCTTCCAGTCCTCCATAAGTTGTATGGCTGGGACCTCTGGTATGTCAGTCACCTCTGCCTGGCCACACTCAGACAAGGCTATGCCCAGGTGGCCACAGCCTCCCGGGAGGAATACGATGCATTCGTAGCCTTTGACGCCCAACACAGCCTGGTGGCTGACTGGGTCTACAATGAGATGGTGCCCCAGCTGGAGGAGAAAGGAAGAAGGAGATTCAAGCTGTGCCTGGAGGAAAGGGACTGGACAGTGGGCGGGTCCAGGATTGAGAACCTCTGTGACTCCATCTACAAGAGCAGGAAAACCATCTTCATCCTGGGGAGAGAAGGGTTTGGCAGCGGCTTCCTGCGGCACACCTTCCTCCTCAGCCAGCAGCGGCTGCTGGACGAGAAGGTAGATGTGCTCCTGCTGGTGCTACTGGACCCCGCGATGAAGATGTCCAGGTTCCTGCTGGCCCGGAGAAGACTGTGTGGGAGGACAGTCCTGGACTGGCCCTGCAACCCCTTTGCCCAGCCCTACTTCTGGCACTGCGTGCGAGCCCGGCTGGCCTGCGAGGTTCATCCCTTTGATGCCTCACACCTGAGGAGAGGCGTCAGCAGTTCTGGGGCAGGGGAGCTCCTGCCAGCAGAGGACGCCATGGCCAGGCCGGCTTTGCAAAGGCCCCGAGAAGCAGCCAGGGCTTGCGCATGGCAATGACGCCTCTCATGGGGCTGGCTCCTTGTTTTGCTTTTTCCCCCTTTTCCCCATTCGGAGGGTGCTCAGATTCACACCCCTGCTTAGCGTGGCTGAGCAGAAGGGGCTAGGCTGCCTGAGGAATGCCCTGGGGATCCCCAGGGCTCAAGTGTGCTGCTTGAGCAGCCCTGCATCTGGGATTTGTCCCCCGGTTCCTGAGCTACTAGGAACAGAGGCCACAGGGCTGGAGGGACCTCCTGAGTCGCAGGCAGCCCTGCAGTAGCACACACGGAGCAGAGTGCAGGGACTCTGGGTGTTTGGCCCACCCCCCCAGGCCCTGGAGTTGCTCCTGGACCAAACCTCTCAGGGTCAGAAACTTGCTTCTAATCTCCAGCCTGAATTTACTCGTGGCCAGTTCCTCGGCAGGTGTTCTTGTGGCCACCCTGGCCTTTCTCTTCCTGAGCTCTCCCCTGCCAGGTGTACTTACAGGGAGCAGCCCGAGCCCCTCCGACCAGCCACCTCTTCCAGTCTCCTCTCTTCAGCTGGGCCCCTCCGCTCCCCTGGCCCCCTGGCAGCTCTTCCCTGCACTGCTTCCAGCTGAAACGCTCCTTTCTTGACCATGGGAGACCAGCCTTGTGCACCATACGCCAGCCCAGGCCTCACCACAGCGCCTTGCACCAGGGCGTTGTGACAGGACCCCCCATGCTTTATGAAATGGACGTATGGACATGAATATGCATAACTCAAAGGTGCTTTGAGCGATTTTGGGGAACCCACCGATCTTCATGTCCCGATGTGCCGGTTCTGTTTATCTTACGTGGCTGTGTGTATCATTTGTGTGTGTCCGATTAGACACACGGAGTGGGGAATACTTTGTGGGTTTCAAACGTGTGAATGAGAGACATGGAGGGTGTTACCCTCAAAGTCTTGATGAGCAATTGTTAAACTATCGATTTTGTCCTTAAGTCCTAGCATGGTTGGTAGGGAGGGGCCTCAATTCCTTACCAAAAAGAATAGGGAAGTAGAGGGCCTTGGTCTTTTAGCTGGGCGGCACCTGAAGGAAGGAGCCGGAGACCCAGGGTGGGGGAGAGAGCCCTGGTTTGGAGGGGCAGCTGGAAAAGAGGTTTTAGGGGGAGTTTGAAGAGTTTGCACTGAGGTTTCAGTGGAGAATTAGCCAAGCGATTTTGTTTCTTTTGATTTGTAACCTACTTTGCTCTGCCTGTTCTTGCTTATTACCACTTACCTCCTACTGCTTCCACTTAATAAAATCACTTTTATTTTCTGTCAAACCCAGTGTAAACAATAATTACCGGGGAGGCCAATCCCTTTCATTGTTAAAGGTGGCTTATCCTAATTCTTTGGGGTGTAATCCCATCTGGGGAGTGCTCTCTCAGGAGGCTGGGCTCTAAACTGCACTCTTCTCGGACCTGAAGAGGTTCAGTGTCTGTACTGCTTCTCAGGGGGGCAGGGATCTCAACTCGGTGCCATGGCTGGGGGAGACCAGCAGAGCTGGCCCAGCAGGACTGGGCGGTGAGGAGCCCCAGAGAGCAGGAAGGCGAGTGGCAGTGGCCGTGTCAGCACCCCGGGAGGCCCCCCGAGGGGTTGTCTGTGACCGCACCCTGTTACAGGTGTCAATACTTCTCTGTCGCCCCTGGAAACGCCTCGCCTGAGACAGCCGGTGAGTGCAATTGCCCTTGCCACAGCTGTGCCCCTGGGCCAGGAGAGGCTAAACTTCTCCCTGAGGGGCAAGGAATGGCCGATCGGGTGCAGATGGCTTCCCTTTGCAGCCCCCAGTCCATCCCCACCCCCACCTCCTGCCTGAGGCCCTGCTCTGCCCTACCTCTTCCCTCCCCTGCTCCACCTCTTCCCCCAGGCTCCCTGCCTGCCGCCCGCTCCTCTCCACCGTGTGAAAGAAGGGGCGGGGCTAGGCTGCGGGTATCCCTTGAAAAGCCAATGGGACCGTGCCCTCCGTCCTTGTTCCAGCGACCCCTAGTGAAACTGCTCCCGCCTCAGTGATACTGGTAGCACAGCTCTCCCCAGCCTTAATGGTGAGCGACTGGGAGAGGGGTGAAGAGACGGGAGTAGGGTCAGGAAGAGGTGGGACCAGAGTCTTGAGGAAGAAGTGGGGGCGAGGCTTTGGTGGGCGGGGTCACAGTCTAAAGCTCCCCACATGAAAGAGTCATGTGCTGCCTATGGCTGCGTCCCATTGGCGATTCCTAGTGCTGCTGTGATCAACCCACACTCCTCATCTGCTTCCTCCAGTTGATTAGCCCCCAGTATGTAGTCGCACTCTTATTAATGGAGCCCGAGTGCACCACTTTGCACTGTGAATGTCATCCCATCGCTGTTCCTCCATCTTCAGAAGCATCCAGCTCTCCCTGTCTAAGGCTCTGAACCTCCTCTGCATTGATCATGCCCCTCCCCCCGTTGTTTCATCAGTGCCCCCCCCACCTCTTGCGCCAAGGTCAGCCATGAAAATAGCCAATAAGATCAGTCCGTGATAGACTCCCTACTAGTAACCTCCCTCCAGCCCAGTAATTCATCTTTCTGCATAGCCTCTCGTCCCCTCCCCTTTTAGCCAGTTCCAGACCCACCGGCATTGCCCATGAGAAACTGGATCAAATGCTTCCCCAATGTCCAGTCAGATTAGATCTACCACACTTCTGTAGTCTAGAAAGCCAGTTCTTGTCCAGGAAAGATCAGTTGGTCTGGCACAATCTGTCTATCTGGCTAAACCCATGATACATTTTACATTTAAATGTCTTTAATTATTTTTCCTGCAGAATTGATTTTAAAGCTCTGCATCCAGCTGAAGTCAGACGAATGGCCCTGTAATAGCCCAGAATATTTTTCTCCCCTTTCTTCAACATAGATATGACAACCACAATTCACCAGTCATATGTTCTCATCCTCCTTCTCATGGCTGACAAGCTCCCAATCAGTCTTGATCTCCAACACAGACAGGACAGCAGCTCTTTGAAATCAGTCACCCCTAGTCCGAAACAAACATTGTCAGAAATCAGGCATTGATCTCCAGGATTGGAACAACTGTGTCCTCTGCACCCACTTGGAAGAAATAGCTTCCAAAAATAATTGACATTTTTTCTGAGGCCTACAACCCACTTGGCCTCACCCTCAACCCCAAGACAAGGAAAGTTCTACTCCAAATCAGCAGGATCCTGCCCAGATAATTCAGCTCGGTAAAGGGCCCTGGAAGAACACCGAGCCCTTCCTCTGCCTCACAGCCATCTGTTGCAGAAAGCAGCTTTTGGGCACCCGAGAAAACACAACTTTGAAGATTGCGATACCAAGCATCAAACCAGGCTTCCCCTGCCCCTGGCTGCTGTTGCCTCTGATCTCCTGTGTACAGCAGGTGCCTCAGGGTTCTGGAGCACCACCAGCAGGGCCACCACAAGAGTTTCTGAATCAAGTAGGGTGATCAGAACCCCAACATCAGTGTTCTGTCCTATGCCAAAATCTCAGCCCTGAAGTGATGATTATCTGCCACCTAGCTCCCCTGGGCTGATCATATTCTTCTAATGCCAGACTATTGACTCCTGGAGCACGTCATGTTCTCACAACTTAGTCATGGCCAAAGCATGAGGGGTGACCCCCCCACACCTCCATGTCACTTTCATAGCCAATATGAAGAAGTGCAAGATTGACATCAAGTCATGGGAAACCCAAGCCCCCAACCAACCAAAATGGAGAAGGACCTTGTAGTATGTGTCCTGGTATTTCAAGAAGATCCAACAAAGACAACAGGAAATGAAGAAACAGAAAAGGAGGAAAGGACGTGCTGCAGATTGAGACTACGTCCAGACTGCAGGCTTCTTTTGGAAGAAGCTTTTTTTGGAAGAGATCTTCCAAAAAAACTTCTTCTGAAAGAGAGCGTCCACACTGCAAAAGTGTGTTGAAAAAGCCATTTTTTTCGAAAGAGAGCATCCAGACTGAATGGACGCTCTCTTGCGGGTAAGCTGTGACTGCTATGGACGGAATGGCCACCAGGGCACCGGTGCTTTTTCCTCTTTCCTCTTCTTCCAAAAGAACTCCCTCTTCCCCATCCACACACGCCTTTTCCCGAAAGCGCTCTTTCGCAAAAAGGCTTCTTCCTCGAGGAATGAAGAATGCTGGAAAAACCCCTCTGTTCTTTCCATTTTCTTGCAGAAGAACGCAATTGCAGTGTGGACGTTTCTCAAGTTTTGTTGGGAAAACGGCCGTTTTTTCCGACAAAACGCTGTAGTGTAGACATACCCAGACTCAACAATCCATATCCCGCCCTTCCACAAAGTGTCTGCCCCAGCTGGGACAAGATCTGTCTCATCAGTCATCTATGGATCCACCATGGGTAACTGGCGATTGCTTTCTGAAAGACAATCACCCTTGCACTCTGAGGGAGCCCCAGCCTTACACGGCAGTAGATTTTTGCCATTATTGTATTTTGGGCTTTTTGTAGGCTCTGCTCCTTTTAACTGCAATTTTGTACCCCTCATGCCACCTGGAGGGGAGTTTTCAGGGTTGAGTTGCATCCATGTGCTAGACATGGCTACAGGAGCTGCTGCTTTCAATCCCAACATTATCATTGAAATGCTGTGTCCTCACTCACACAATGATAATTGACTTGGAAATGTCATCCAGTTAGCGTTCTTAAAATTCCAGGTGGAAAAATTTCCAATATTTTCAAGCTTACCTTGCCCTTGAAGTATAACAAGTAAAGGCACATGACCATGCCCCATTCTTTCTTTCTTAGCCAGTTGCCTTTACTTGTAATATTTGCTGTTACAATTCCTGGGTCTAAGCAGGAAACATTCCCATTTGCTTCATTAAATCTAGTTGGTGTGCTGTTGTTTAAAACCACTTTTTTGCTTTCATCAGTGAACTTTTCTAAGCCTGCACCATTTTTTATCAATTGTCTTATTTCCCTGCAATTTATGACTATTTAGGTCACTGTATATGATTGATTGTCTTTTAGCATCATTGCTATTTCTTCTAGTGCCAAACTTTCTAATTTCCCAAATGGACTGAAATATTATAACGCCTTAAAGAAGTCTTGCTCTTCTGCTTTGAGATCTCAGTAGAAGTAGTGGCTAGATGTATTTCTTCGTTCTTTATTGCTGTGTAGTTTAATCTCCCCCCTACAAAAGTATAAATGCCTCCTCCTCTTCCTAGCTTTCAGTCTTGCCCGAAAGGCAATGCACTCTAGCATTGCAGAAAGCAAGATTTCCAGCCAGCCGTGTACCCTCCAAACAGCTGACGTCTGGTTTTGTTTTCACTTCTAGGAAGGATATTGTCTTTTAGTTCTTGTCCGTATGCTGTCAGACCTCACACATGCCAGCAAAAGATCCCCATATGAGCCCTGCATCACCATTACCCTCATCCAGCAGGGTTCCTGGGTGGCTGGAGAGTTTCTTCCCTTCCCCCCAGGGACCCCTAATGGCACTCGGTACTGCCATGCACCATGGTGGTGGTGTTGTGTGATGACACTGAATTTTTCATAATATTCTGTATGAATACTACGAGTGCCTCAGTGTCCCCTGTGTGCTGCATGTTGAATTAGGTGGGGAAAAGGGGTGTTTAATCTTTGCAGAGACCCAGGTATGACTGATGCTTCACTGCCTGGGGCTGGAGCCCCACATCCCTGGAGAACCCCAAAGACAATGGCCTGGCCATACTCAGTAACCAAAGGCCACGGACCCCTTTGCAGTAAACCAGCCAGTGTGGGCCAGCTGGAAAACTATAGGCTGAGAAGGAGACGAAGGGCCAGGTGACCGTGTTTGACCAGGCACAGGAGCGAGAAGGACCCGGTGGTTGTGTAGTGTAACTTTCTGTTCTCTGTGATCATCAAGGACTGTTCAGGCCGTGTTCCAGACAGCTAATACAGCTTCCTACTTTGCCAGCAGGCAGAGAATCACTGCAGAGTCAGGAAGTCGGGGGAGGGGGGGCAGCACTCCTTTTGGGGGTGCATGTTTCCCCTGGCAGCCAGTCCAGGTGGGATCTGTGACCCTCAGCATCGCCTGTGGGGTGCCCACACAGGGCTTGGGAACCATCTGATCCAACTAAATCACAGCCAGTGGTTGGCTACAGCTTCCAGCTGGGAGAGCTAAGAGAGGACCCAGCCCCACACAGG